TTTACGAAAAGGCCGGCGGTTTATTTACAAAAACAGGCCAATAATTCCGCTCCAGGGTGTCCGGACTAATTCGACGTTATTAAATAATGGGGCTTCTGCCGTAATGCATTATCTACACGCCTACAACATGTGCAAAGGTTTTAAATATTTTTTTAACTAAACATAGCATATATTCAGATAAATATTACGGGTAAATTAAATTGTCATATGTTTTAATTATCTTTATTATGTTTTGTCTGTTTGTTTTTAATTTTGTTTAATTTGTTATTTGTATCTGTATAACAAACTTTAAAAAAAATTGTATATGTAAATAGTTAGACATAAACAATGCAGATATAATTATTATAAACAAATTAAAACATATATTTTAGTTTCGACTTCCACTTAAAATGCACTCTTCATCTTTTTTTCCAAAGCTTTCAAAGCTTGCACCATTATAAGTCGAACGTATAATAAAGCCATCTTCAAGCTATCACAGATGGAGGCGATAGGATCCGATGATTATGTCCGGATAATATTATAATTAAATTAATGTGTAACTTGTCCCTTTCTTATGAGTTGGAAATGAAAAGGATGCATGTTGCAAGTGACACCTTGCTACTTTAAATTGGTATTTCGTATTACAGGACATAAAAATGATTTTGAATAATAAGTTCGCAAAAACTTTACCAGTCGTCACCTATTTGAAGAAGTTTCACCAAAATTATAAAAAAAAGTCTTAGCTTTATTCACTTCTTGTCCACATCTTTAACTAAAGCTAATAACTGGAGGTATAAAGACTTAGTTGAGAAACGCTTTCAGGTTAGGATAAATTAAAAAAGATGTACATTCTCTCTATTAACTTTATACACAATGATTTCATAAAAAATCGTTATCTACCGTTTTAAATTATTTACCGTATAAAAAAGTCGGTAACCAATGAAGAGAACTCCCCTATGGATATCCAATTAAATAAAGAACCCTATTCACAATCAATTAGTCAGCGAATTCGTTCAAAAACTCACTTTATACGTGTAAAAGCTCAGTGTGTATGCGGCATAATGGCGGCGGTGGCTTTTTGCCGCCGTTTTTTTCTTTTTTTTCATAATAGGGGTAATATAAGGCGTTGGGACTGACACCTTTGCGGACCCCACAGGAGGTTGTATAGGAATAATTTGTGGGGTAATAAAATGTAATAATTCTCAGCGTGAATTGAAACGCTCATATAACTTTATAATGAAGTAAGGAATAATGAGAAATTTTAATAATTTAGACGGCGAAAACTCTTAGTCTAACTGCCAAAAAAGTGCTAAATGCAAGCGCTTATGTCTGGTTTACATTATGCCAGTACTACTGGACGGTAGCACTGGTATGGACTGGCTTCAGTTAGTGTTTACATTATGCCAGTTGTATACGCTACTGACTTAATATAAATTAGATGTTGCACTAAAGTTGCTGGATATTTTATATTTATTTCATAAATATACTATTTTAAAGCCATTGGTTAATAATATTCTTAGAACATATCAACAATAATTTACTAGAAAATTACTTGTATTTAAAGAGATTTCTATCATTGTTTCCATCAATGATTAATTTCTTTGTAAAATATTTAATGTCGCTTACATTGTATGTAACACAGACTATATGAATTACACGTACGATCATTATACAGATAAAATCTGAATTAACTTAATGTCATATTCAACTAGAAATGATTGTGACAGATTAATTTTGTTGCAACCTTGGTTTGTGTACTGTGGTTTACTAAAATTATGATACGACTATGATGAACACATCATAATTATTTTATGTTTTTTTTTCCAAATTAGATGTGATTTATTCTCGTTATTGTGTAAACGTACCTTTATTTCTATCGATTTGTATAATTTTTATTTTACGTTAAATTCTTGTATTGTGTTAACTTAAGCAATTTATACTTTTATTCAACGACAATAAACAATATTACATGTCATCTTGTTGTAATTAAAAAAAAACAAGTTTCAATTTATTTGCCGGTGGAAATGACGTTTTCATATTCCCGTAATTATATAGTGATATACATGTCCATATAAAACCCCGATCGTTTATCTAATGTACGTATAATAATGATAGAGATATCTACAACAATAATATCTAATGCCCCGCGGTGTATACAGGGGGATGTTGGAAAAAAATATATTATTTCCGTTCAGAAACACAAGAAATGACTTCCTCAATCAACCGGTCTTGTGCCGTGCTGTCAATGACAAATGTTCTGCCTCTAATATTTTAATCTATGACATATGCGCCAAAGATTAGATACCGCCTTTTGACGTAACTTCAAATTTGGAACGACCATTGTTAAACGTTGATGTCTTCTTTCTCTATTGTGCCAGCAACAATGGCGTTTTTTGCAGACTCCGTTTAAATTAGGTTTATAACGTTTTTGAAAGGTTCTATTAAATTATAATAACCACTTCTAAATGCTTAAATGATTGCTCAAACGGTCCATTTACTATTGGTTAATTTGCTATTTGCTATAACAAATATTTTAAATAGTTATTTTCACACGGTATTTAACATGGAAAGACTTTTACTATTAGTAGGGACATAGTTTAGGAATATGTTATGATTATAATCATAGAGCAAGTCTAAAATAATTATGGAGGCAAGGTACTTGGGTGGTCGAATTTATAGTCCACGTAATAGAAATTGAATTTTAATTTATCACTTGTACTTGTAAAAATTTCTATATAATGTTATATAATTTTATCGATACTCATCGATATCAACATCGACGATGACACAAGAAAAAAAAAATGGCGGGAATTTTAATGACAGCGCGCGCAACGCAGATGGCGCTTCACAAAAATCTTTCAATTATGTCCGACGCCGCTCTATAATCACAACTTAATCACCAATTTCTGAATACGAGCGAGCATTATCTCTTAATATGTCTTTGTCTTCGATTACGAATATCGATTATGATACTGATCAACGTCAGCCATCTTGAATTGATTGACAGATGTTTTCTTTGTTTTACAAAGTGAGAATTTTTATTATTGATTGTCATTTGTCAATTATAGTTTATTGCTTTAACAAAATATATTTAAAATTATGTAATATCGAAAAGCAATTAGTGACATAATTAAAATCCCACTTTGCCATAAGATTACATACTGTTTTTTTCGTCACTATCGAATTGAACAATGACTCACTGCAATTTTACAACGTCAGATAAAAGAGACTACAGAAATTTTCTCGTCTGATTTTAGTTTAAATATGATAAACGATTGCCTATACTGTAATGCTTCACATATGTGATATATACCCACATACATATACAGTCGGACATGGATAATCGAAACGACAAATCTCTATAAGTGAGAGTCATTGTCTGTTCCCGACGGCGCCCTCTATAAGCAAGAAAAATATCGCGGTCTGTGGAGTCTCGCTTATTCAGGTTCGATTCTATTATATTCTAGCTGTCACCCACGACTCCGTCCAAAAAAAAATAATAAGTAGCCTATGTATCAACACATATTGAAGATTGTTTTGTTGTTGAATATATGTAGGTTAATAACAATAAACAAGGGTCGAGGCTGTGGAATTTTACCGCAAGAATTTATCAAAGAAAGAAATTACCAAAACTAAAAGAAATGAAAACAAGATAGTTTTCATATCCGATAGCTTTGCCACTGGGTTATCATGAGTCAAATATTCGTATCATTAACAAAAACATTTGGTTTGCAAAGAACGTTAAACCTATAACTTTTAAGAGACAGGACCTGCGAAGCACGTGTATTGTGGTTTAAGATCTTTATTTCTCTAAGAATTTACAAAATTCACTGTATGACAAACAATTTTACTACAACATATAATTCGAAATTTCACCAGTAGTCGGAGTATTCCTCTCAGCCAAATGAAAACTAAATATTTAATTCAAAATGTCTTAATAAAGCCTTTTCAATACGTGTCAGCATCCCATGCTCCTATGTGATTTTACCTTCCGCCAAAAGTAGCAAACATTAAATAGAAAGCAACTCTTTGCCTAGTCCGTTTCTCTATAGTCAAATATGTCCGCTAATGTCGGAACAAACAAAACGTCTTCGAAAATCAAACAAGGGAACATCATTAACTGACGCCAACGGATATCAAAGTTTTGTTTTTTTTCATAATTTCACTGTACGTTTCCACTACCGAAACAAATGCAAAAAACATATTATGCCGTCTCAATCGTCTTAAAAAACAAGGACAATTTTAAGTATTGTTGGAACAAATTAATGTTTTTGAATTGTTTCAGCAGTAAAAATCTTATAGTTAGATTTTTACGTTAGGTCGAGTTCGAAGTAGGAATTTTCTTATTTTTTGTAATATCATACTTTGAAAGATATTAATAAATAGTTTTTTATTTTGCGGTAATGTGCATTTACGCTATTTTTTTTGAAAGTTCTTGTCAAACTTGAAGGCAGTAAAATCACAAATTGTTTTTTTCATGCATACCACTAAAAGGGATTCCTATAGGAGTGTAATTCAAAGTGCAAATTGTTGTTAGGCCTACTTTTTACAATATTATTGAATTATTTAGTGTAAAATATACTTTATATGGTATTTTATAGATATGTTAGTAATGTAGGCACAATTAGGCAATTCATATCTTGAAAAAATATATTTGTTTGCACATACTGATTTGCAAAGTTTAGTTTATAGGGCGTGTTCTTAATTCCTATTTGAAGATATATGAAAGTATGATATTTTATTAGCGACGAAAAATGACAGGATTTATAGAGTAACTTTTAACTTTCTCTAATGCTAACCATCATCCTGTAGGTTTTATATTAGACAATTTTAAATTGACCTTCCAATATGATCATGTCCACAACTATGCTATTATTAAGAAAACAAACTCTTCAGTGATTGCACTGAAGAGTTTGTTTTCTCTTGGTTTGACCTTTGGTATTGGATTGGTATTGACCAATTGCAGTAGAGCTTCAACGAGGCTTAACAATTAAGAATAAGAAAAACAGGTAAGGACTTACCTCCATTGTCAGTATTGTTGGCTTCGAATGTCTTGCTGGTCATGTGGAATAGTGCGTCGAGCGGCGTGTGTGGTGCGGTGGAGGTGTGCGGGCGACGCGGCTCCGAACAGCAGTCGGAGGCGGAGGAGGAACGCTCTGAGGTGGAATCACAGTCCGGCTCTCGTGGCCGCAGCAGACCAAGCGCTGCCAGCCTCCACCGCTCGCCGTCCAAAAGCGCCGCGCCCGCCAGTCTCTGCAGCCGCTGCAACCTCTCCAAACCAGACGCGTCCCATGGACGCACTATACGAGGCGGCGCCCTAGGGCTATGAGACAATATGTCCAGGATAGAGAAACTCTTCACGCCCTCCCCCCGTCGCTCCTCCACCGGCTCCGAAGCCATCTTCAAGCGCTTCAGCGGCCTGAAGTAATCTTGAGGTGACGGCGAGCGCGACGGCGCCGGCGAGGGGCGGCCCACGCTGATATCGTCCTCGGAACAGCTGTGCCCGGACATCGACTCCTCTTCCATGGTTCAGTTCACATCCATCACAGTAAAGTCACAACGCTATCGGAGGTCGCGGTTCACACGATACACGGCTAACGACTCGACGCGTCTCGGTCGACTGACGTGACGCGACGGTTGACGCCGCGGGCGTCGCTCGAGGGCGTTCCGAATTTAAGCATGGGCCAATGGTGAGGCGGTCTCTTGAAGGGGCATGGCGGGGATTGGTTGGCAGTGGTACGTGGGGCGCGGTCGCCTGTCACACCGTACGATCCAATAAAACTTTTTAATCCGGCCCTCTCGATTGGGGGGCGAGATTCGTGGTGTGATTAATTTAGCTTTGCACCGGCGGGCGGCGGGGGGTTCGGATGGGGGTCGCGGGGCGCGGCGGGGGCATCGTTTAATTACCGGGATGAAGACGCTTGGTCTAAGTACGGCGCTACAACACTTAGCTTCGCTACGAGCGATGTTTGTCACCGCAAGAAGTGCCACTTTCCTTCATTTATAGTTCATCAGTTAATTGCCGAGTCTCGACGACGCGACGTGGGAGGCGTGAAACCGATTATTAAGGTTAAACGTCTGTCTGTAAATGATTATCTGATTTTCGCATCAATTTGATAGATTTTAATAAAAATTATTTCAAATATAAGACAAACGTAAGCGGTATATTTATCTAAAAGTGACATTGAAGCTTACGATCTATCTATTAATAAAGAATTTATGTTTTTTTTCCTATTCAACCATTTTTTTTCATTCATTTAATTATAATTAAACGAATTAATTACCTAATACGCATATTAATGCCTTAAAATTGCTTAAAATCATCTACTTATTTTAATTTATTATGAACAGTAATTTACTATAAAAGTTTCTTTTTATAAAAATCTAAGTGTTTTTATATTAATTTATGTCCTATATTAATTAGCATAAAACAATTACTACTAGTCGTAATAAAGCTTTTAAATAGCCTTTGACTTTTAAGACGCAGGACCTGGCAAGCGTGCCCTCTGTCATAAAAAAACGAACAGTAAGTTCTAAAGTCGCTTTTTTGTGTGCTCTTTTTGCGTATAAAGACGTAAATGTCGAACTTGTTTGATTGTCAAGTTTATCTTGACACCCGAAAAAAGTACCAGAATTTATTTAGCAACAACAGCTCATTAACTGTATTTATATAATACAATTGTCTAGTCCATTACTTTATAGTCAAAATAAACCGCGAACTGATGCTTATTTTTGATTATTAAAACGTTTAAAAACGTGACTTTTATTTAGCACAGAAATCAGTTAATTAAAAATATAATTTACTACAGCTATAAAATAGTTTAAAAAATATTAATTCTCCTCATATTATATACACGTATATATTAGTTAATTTTATTTAAAAATGATGAAGTAGACCGAAAAGTAACCAGACTAAGTACACTGTCCTAATATCAGTCGGGAAATCACAATAGAATCTTTTACGCTTTACTATTAAAGTAAATATTAGGTATCTATTGCGTAAAACTATTAAATATAACAAAAAAAAATCCATTGTGATCGGCCATTAGCGAACCAATCTGTTATTAGTGTCGGTGCTATATCCCATTAAATATTACAACCGGAACTGACGCCATATTGCGCGCTTTCCCGCGACGCGATCAACCAATCATCGTCTATTTCCGGCGCCGCCATTGACAATTTAGGGTTTCCATAGATATGTTGAAATTGTTATTAACTATGCAATTTTGTTTTTAATTTCTTTTGTTTTGTGTATTGACGCATAAAGTTATAACTTTATTTGTTGGTCAGTCGAAACATTCAAATAGTTAAGAGGATTTAACAAAATGTTATAAGTATTTAAAATGGTGGAAACATAAGTTATATGCATATATTTTGAAGTAAATTAAATTATTTCAAATTCTATTTATATTTAAACATTATTAATTAGAATACTTTGGCGGGAATTGCGCGCTTTCATTACCAAGTCAAGTGTCAGAATTAATAGTGAGGGGACATAAACGTCGACATTTTATTAAGGCTAGTGTTGCGCCAATACACCGGCACAGTGTCGGATTTACATCCTAACCGTATATACTCTGATTACAGTTTAATATGGACATAAAACTTTAAGATTTTATTTCTTAAATTCTCTATTTTTTCTCCTTTAGTGTAGTTTAAGGTCAACCAAACAAAGCTAAACATTTAAGTTAAACCTAACTCATTCATGAAGTAAAATTATAAGCAACAAGAACACACTTTTGTTTTTTAAATCGACGAATATATCATCAAAACCACAAACCACAAAAAAATAACTTCAAATAATAAGCACATTACAGACCACACACCTTACGTGTTGATCACAAATAGAGACGTGACGTAATCGATTCCGGACACTGGCAAATGACGTCACACGCCCACGGGATATTTGTTTCCGCCCTTAGATGGAAAACGAGAAAAAACAGGCAAAATTAAAGCTTCCTGATGAAGATGTTATAGTAATTGTTTCAAGCTTAAATCTAAAGCCAGAGTTCTATGTCACTTAGGGAGATAATTAGTTTAGATTAAGACGAGTTTTTAGTAAAGCATCATTCAGGTGGTGATTAAAATATCTTAAGTTAGGTAAATTTGGCTACAAAAGCTGTTGATATGTGATTTTATGTATATGTTGAAAGTTGAGATAAATCTGACGTGTGAAGGCAAAACTGAAAATATATACAAAATAGCTGTTATGTTTGCCCGCTACTTAAAAACCACTAAATTAGTTGCCTATGTGCCTACATCTATGCCAAATTTCAACGAGATCCACGTAGCCGTTTTGGAGATACCTTCTTCTAACATCCATCCATCTAAAATTAGTTATTACTCGTATATTATATTAGTAAGATTAACTGACAGTAGATGTACAGGGCTTTACTATGTTAATATACATCTCTATAAAGTCGTTAGTTTTTTTTATTTCTATTTAAAAACATATTTTTATCAAGAACAGGTGATTTTTACCCACAAAATTATATAAAAAAAAACTTAAATTGGATAGGTAAGGTACCACGTGTTCCAGTAATGGCAATAATCCCCTGGCCACCCGCATCCGCCGCTCCTACTTATTACAATTTATGTGTTAAAACTAAATTGAGATGTGTTATAATGACCGCACCCGAAATTATGACTATCGTCCGTTGACGCACTCACGTTGCGGACAACGCATTCTACCCTCATCTACGATTAAACATTCAATATTTCGTTTCATTTCTAACTATACACAATAGATTTGATAATGGATAGAATATAAAACTACGGTCTAAAGATTTGATAAGTCAATTTTTTCGTGTTTTCTTTCATTTGAATTAAAATGTAGATAAAGCAAGAGATGCAAAGTAAGTGTCAAACGAAAACCTGTAACTTCTAGCATTATTCAGGATTTTTATCAAGCTTACTAATATTAATTTCTATATGGGTAATAAAAAAAATATAAACACTTCTAAACTATTTTAACAACCTTCAGAAAGTCTATAAAATAATGTAACGAAAGTATTAAATACGATTGCTGTAGCGCAAGTGCAATTATTCCGTGTATTCGGGTGCTACAGAAGTTTAGTTTAATGGTCGAAAGCGCAGACATGCGGCATAATGCGGTAGTGTGTTTCACTTCCGTTAATGATTTAGACCAAATAGATCGCGCCTTAACTATAGGGTGTTGTTATTTGTGGTGGGTGTCATTGTGTGTGGCAAAATTGATTTGTTTGACGGCAAAGTTTCTCGTACAACGAGTTAGTAAGATTATAGAATTTACATCGCTAGGAAAATTCAGGCTTATTAGTCATCGACTGACTTACCAGTGTGGCAACTCAGAGTCTTCGTAGATCCCTTAGTGTAGATTTAATATTGGTGTTCTTTAATATAATATACTAAAATACTTTTTAATGAACTGCCCACATAGGTATTTAGGGAGGAATGATGCCATGCTCTTATTTGTGTTGCATTTATGATAAAATTAGCAATTTCTCATATTTTGCAATTGCAACAATAATAAAAGAACTTTTACACAGTTTTCAAGGTTTCAAATAGGTCCTAATTAAAGAAGGTATATACAAAACGACTTAAAGTATCTCGATGGAGTTGGCATAGATGTAGAACAGTCTTTAAGAACACATAGGCTACTAATTAACTTTTTTTAAGTCCGAGCGGACGGAATCGCGGGCAACCGCTAGTTTATAAATGTATAATGAAATTATAAATAAAATATAAAAAAAAACTTTTTTCAAAATATTCACTTTTGAGTAATCCGTAGTACCGTACGTAACTCCGTAGTAGTTAAGTTCTCAGTATAAGTACACTTCATCAAGTAAACAGGTTTATATAAAGTTCTGGTATTTTATAGCTGATTGCTCTAAAGTATCGTGTTTCAATTGATTGAATAATTTCCCTTTAATTATCATAAACTTGATTACTCTTAATTTTCGCGTGAACTGCGTGTAGGAAAAAGCTAAGCTGGAAAATAAAGCACGTTAGGTTTTTATAGTAAAATCTTTTTATCTCCCTTAAATTCAAATTATTTATTACGTAAAACTTGTGTCTGGGACTTCGTTCGCGTGAAATAATGTCTTAGGGTAGCATTTTAATTATTTAACTTAAACTTATAAGAGCGTTGGTGGCTCAGGGGTCAAGCACTTGACTTGCAATCTGCAGGTCCTGGGTTCGAATTCCGCCATGTACCAATGTTTTTTTCGATTTCCGATTTACATATATACAATTATCCGGCGTTCTTGCGGCGAAGGACAACATCGTGAAGCAACCTACACATATCTGAGAAGAAATTCAAAGATATGTGTGAAGTCAACCAACCCTCACTTGGCCAGCGTGGTTGACTATGGCCTAATCACCCTTAACTTAGGGTACGACAAAACATATTAAATTTACAATTCCTATTCGGTGTTACTTTATGCCCTTTCCCAGGCTATCTATCTGTGTAGCAAATTTCATTTTGCTTCTTTAATTATTTCGTGCGTGTATAACATTTAATTTTGTTATTTAAAATATTATAGAAATTTATTTTAGAACATACTGTAATTTAATTATGTATAATAATTTGAATTTTTGATAATCGAACACAAATTGTACGTA